TGACTGTATATGACAGAAATATAAGCATCTGACACTAAGTTATATGTCTGGCATTTGTTAAGCATTACTAGCTGCTTAAAATTGTATTAACACTTTACAATTTAGTTCAGTCCAGAGTTATCTGCAAGGTAGTAATAGTGTAAAATAGACCAAGTCAATTCAGGAAATAAATTTTCTTGTTTCCCAGCACAGTTGGCCATTTAAATATAAATAAAATCATTTCTCTTAAATAAATTGGCAATAAGAATTTAGTAAGTTAAATGAAAAAAATACATTTCAATCTTATTTTCTTTTGTATAAAAATAACAATGATGAAAATATGAAACTGAATTATTCACTAGTTCCTCTGCTGTTCCTTCTTTTATAGTTTCAATAAGATAATTCAATTTCATGCTCTGAAACAATGGGGGAGATTTACTAAAACTGGAGCACTCAGAATCTGGTGCCACTGTGTATGGTAGCCAATCAGGTTTTAGCTTCAGCTTGTTCAGTTAAGTTTTTTTGTACCCTTTAAACCAACACAAAACAATTATATTTTGTCTTCTCCAATTACTTTAATGCATTTGTGCAAAATGGTTACATTTCACTCTCCCCAAACCATAATTATCATTTATACAATTTAACCAAAATGTATCATTTATACTAATTATCATGTATACTATTTTCTGACAGTATATTTGAAAAATGTAAAACAACCTTGAACTTTTAGTCAAAAATCTTGCAGATTAACTGCCAAAAAAAAGGACACATGCAATGTATGGGCTATTTCACTGGTTAGCTGAGTGTCAAGAGCCAAAAACCTAAAGGAAGGGATAACCCAGTCCCTCACTATAACACACATATAGTCAGTGCATTAGGGAGTAAGAATGGGGTTTGGGTTTAGCCTGTGGTGGCATTCAGTCCAAACTTTCCAACTCCAGTAAATGGGCAAACTAAATGTGAATTCCAAGGGGACAGTTAAATGTAAACATAGGGGCAATGATAGTGGCTGAATCACTAATTAAATATGGGCATAACTACACTGCTCAAAAAATGAAAAGAATGAGTTTTATCAGAGTATAGCATCAAGTCAATTAAACTCCTGGGCTATTGATCTGGTCATTTAAGTAGCATAGGGGGTTGTTAATCACTTTGAGCTGCTTTGGTGTTAATGAAATTAACAACAGGTGCACTAGATGGGCAACAATGAGATGACCCCCAAAACAGGAATGGTTTTACAGGTGGAGGCCACTGACATTTTTTTTCCTACTCATCTTTTCTGACAGTTTTTCACTAGATTTGCATTTGGCTAGGGTCATTGTCACTACTGGTAGCAAGAGGCGACACCTGGACCCTACAAAGGTTGCACAGGCAGTCTTACTCCTCCAGGATGGCAAATCAATACGTACCATTGCCAGAAGGTTTTCTGTGTCTCCCAGCACAGTCTCAAGAGCATGGAGGAGATTGCAGGAGACAGGCAGTTACTCTAGGAGAGCTGGACAGGGCTGTAGAAGCTCCTTAACCGATCAGAAGGACTGGTATCTGCTTCTTTGTGCAAGGAGGAACAGGGTGAGCACTGCCAGAGCCCTACAAAATGACCTCCAGCAGGCCACTGGTGTAAATGTCTCTCTGACCAAACAATCAGAAACAGACTTTATGAGGGTGGCCTGAGGGCCCAATGTCCTCTAGTGGGCCCTGTGCTCATTTCCTGACACCATAGAGCTCAAATAGCATTTGCCATTGAGCACCAGAATTGGCAGGTCTGACACTGGTGCCCTGTGCTTTTCACAGATGACAGCAGGTTCACTCTGAGCACATGTGACAGATGTGAAAGGGTCTGGAGGAGTCTGTAACATCATTCAGCATGACTGTTTTGGTGGTGGGTCAGTGATATTCTGGGAAGGCATATCCATGGAGGGATGCACAGACCCCTGCAAACTAAACAATGGCCCCCTTGGACCCACTGTCAAACCCTATGCTGGTGTAGTGGGTCCTGGGTTCTTCCTGGTACACGACAATGCCCGGCCTCATGTGGCAAGAGTATGCAGGCAGTTCCTGGAGGATGAAGGAATTGATACCATTGAATAGCCCCAAAGCTCGCATGACCTAAATCCAATAGAACACCTCTGGGATATCATGTTTTGGTCCATCCGGCGATGCCAGGTTGCACCGTAGACTGTCCAGGAGCTCAGTGATGCCCTGTCCAGATTTGGGAGGAAATACAGCAGGACACCATCTGTGGTGTCTTTAGGAGCATGCTCCACGGGTGTCAAGCATGCATACAAGCACATGGGGGCCATGCACACTACTGAGCACCATTTTGAGTTGCTGCAATGACATTTCAGCAAAATGGACTAGCCTGCTGCATAATTTTTTCACTTTGATTTTCGGGGTGTCTTTGAATTCAGTCCTCTGTAGGATGATAATTTTAATTTCCAATGATGGGGCAGCCTTACCTTCCTAACACATTACCCAGTCCATATCAGTATACATATCCAGCATGATATTTTTCCCCATTGAGACCTGATGTGTTTTCAAAGTATTCCTTTAATTTTTTTGAGCAGTGTATTTTTGGTCAATGGTCATAGCCAGGGATACGTTGGGAGTTTAATCCAAACATAAGTTTGGACCAAACTTAGGTGGTTCTGATGGTCAGAATAAATCCATACTTTAGGGACATTCATCATGAGCTGCTCTGTTGAACGCCCTATATTGCATTGAAAACAACAGTCACTGGCCAAAGTACTGCACCTGACCTCCAGTCAGGTCCAAACTTTTGGTCAACAATGCTTTCTTTAGAAGGTTTCAGCCCAAACATTATAAAAGGCTACTGTCTAGCAACCGTTTGTGAAGTGAGTAGAGTTTAGTTTTAGGGTCAGATGATGGTATTGCAGGGAATAAGAGTTGGCAATGTAGTGTGCTACTACAGCTATACAGTTCTATATACAGTTCTATATACAGTTGTCAGGAAAGGCTTGCACATAGTACAAACAAAGTTTCACGGTGCATAAAAATGCACATGCTCAGAGCGGCGACTAGCTGGACAGATGTGTACAAGAATGAGCATATGCGAGCGCACTTGTGTATGCGCATACGGGTTTCACACCTGTTGTCAAGACTGGCACCAAATTGTCTATTTAAACAGGACTACTGCACTGGCTAATTGCTGTTTGGTCTGCAGTTTCTTTGTGTATTTATCCTGATTCCTGTGCCTGACCTCTGATCTTGACCCAGCTTGCTCATGACTCCACTTGTCTGCTACCTGCCCTGACCTTGGCTCATTCTCCAGATTCTGCCTCTGCTTACTGTCTCTGCCTGATCTGCCTCCACTGTTGCTGACATTGGCCTGTGACCTGACTCCTCTCCTGCCTGCTGTTTATGCCGAATCTGCCCGTCTGTTGCTTATCAGATTTGCCTGAACCTGCATCCTGTTCATCCAGCCTGCTCCAGCTCTGTAGTCCAGTACATTCTCATCTGATACGTCTTCCTGCTACCAGCCTGCCCACTTCCAGACTACCTGCTGTGGCATCTGCCTGTTGCTAACCATCTGCTATCTGCCTGCCTGCTGTGCCATCTATCAGCTGTCAGCCTATCTACTACCAGCCTCCCTGCTGTGCCATCCACCTGCTATCAGCTTGCCTGCTACCAGCCTGTCTGCTGCGCCATCGATCTGCTACCAGCCTGCCCTTCTGAGACATCCGCCTACCACAGGCTGCATTGCTCCTGGTATCATTTCAGAGAAGTGACAGCTACTACCTACACAGACTACTGGACTAATCATGGCACTCATATCTCGCCACGCTCTCATGGTTACTGTTCGGTGACTCCTGAGCCAGAGCTGTACAAGAGGCTTTCCTCTCCACTTCAGGCTCACTACCAGACACGTGACAACAGTACTTTATTTGGTACTGTATATTGCCATATTGTATATTGTCCCTTGATGTAAATCCATCATCAATCCCATCCCATTTACCCTATCCCTGCTCCTTTGTTAACATTCACCTGTCGAGAATCACAGTCTGACAGCTGAATAGCAGGGCAAGAAGATGTTACTAAGTTTTAGGAGGCTTGCAGCCACCAGGTCATTGGCCCTCTGAACAGGTGAAATTTGGTCCAGTTCAGGCCAAACAGGTAGTTTATATTCCTACTCACCCCAAATGGTTACCTAGCACACTTTCAGTATTTTTCCTCTATAAGTTGTCCCAAATTATTTAAAGGATAAGTTCACCTTTACAAAAAAATAATAAATGCACTTTTTTTGCAGGTAAAACATGCATTTATAATTTTGTTTTTTTTGTTAGAATTTGTTAGGAGCCTGTAAAGCATTGCACCCATGATCCGCAGATTGTGGGTGCAATGCCACGATCCAGCAGACTGCCTGTGTATCTCTCTGCCTGTCCCTCTGATATGGACACCTAGTTACACAATGACAGGAAGCTCAGTGAACTACTTAGAGAGCTCAACAGTGCTCTGGTAGTTCATTGAGAACTACAAATCGACAGCCGCAGAGGCTGTCAGAACATGCGTTTTTTCATATTCACAGAATATTGTAAAAGAATGACACGGCCGGCAGGAGCCCTGCATGCTTTTTTTTTTCAGATTTTGACAGCCAGTGAGGTGAAAAGATCCACTGATAGCTGTCAAAAATGGGGGATTGGGGAGGGAGCAGAGGCCAGTGCATCTGAAGCATGTTACATGTTACGCAGTGAATATGGAAATCCCAACGTATCCTTAAAGAAAAAATCCAGGCACTGCACGATTCAAATGCTTATTTTCTTTGAGGGTAGAAGATATCCTACCTGCACAAGGCCAGTCCTTTCGACTCCGACTCCTGTGTTCCAGAAGCCTTGTAAATGGGCTGTTCCTGATGTCAGCATGCTTAACCTCCCTGGCAGTAGTCCCGAGTGTAGCTCGGGGTAAAGTTTCAGTGCCAAAAGCGGTAACCCTGAGCTACACTCGGGCTTATAATGCGTCGTTGCTCAGGGATTCCCTGCAGCCTTAGCTTGTCCTTCGCTCCCGCGATGCGTCCCCTGCTGCATCCCCGGCCATCTTCTCCAGCCAGCATCTGGCTTCCGTGTTCCGGTCCCTGCGAGCGTCGGGATGTACGGGGGCCGGAAACGGCGGCAAATTTAAAAATGTTTAGAAACTGTCATTTTCTTAGAAATGAATTTGACATAGTAAAACATGACTGTATCAAACCATTTCACATACATTTTGTCACTACTGCTTTGTCCTGTGCCCTGCCTGCATTTTGACTGTTCTTTCTGCCTGGAAACTTATAAAAGTCCATGGCGTCCAAAAAGTGTCCCTTTAGGTCAAAAGCGGTTTTAGACCAGCTAGAGAACAGCGATAGTAAATCAGAACCACTTGCAGAATTGAGTGATAATGATTTGTGGGGAAATTTGTCATCAGACACTGAAAACGATTTTGCGACTTTGCTCAGCGATGTGCGAACTTGGCGCTATCTTTCAAATGTCAGTGTTTTTGGTTAGATTATATTATTGAATTAAATTTATTATTATTATATTATTATTTTTATGATTATTTATTAAATTATAATTTATGATTTTTGTGTTTCAAGTTTTATCATATCGGAATGTTTACTAGACTCTTGTTCGGACAGATTTCAGTGAGTTATTCCTAAAAATTACAGGCCTACAAAAAAAAAAAAAAATACATATTTCCATGCAAAAAAATGTACCGCTTTCAGCACAGAAATATGGACATAATCAGACCACTAGGGAGGTTAATGTGCGCTCCACAGACAGGAACAGTCCACCGCTGAACCATGGGGGAGTGCAGATTTCCATGGGATCGAAGGGTCAGTATGAGCTAAGTTCTCACCCCTAAAAAAATGAGCAGCTGCCCCAGTCCATGGTTGAAAAAAAAAGATTCTAACTGGAGTTCTGCTTTAAGAGCAGCCTAATGTTCCCCTTAGATATCAGTAAAAGATTTTAATTTAGTTAATCCATTTGATGCTTACACATTAAATATTTTGTAAACTAACCTAGGCTCAAACTTTGAATTAGCCTTAAAAGACAAATACATTGAGGGCTAAAACCAATCACCCTGATATTGCTATAAGAATTTACAAGCATTCAGCATATCCCACAAAATTACTTACAAGCATTCAGCATATCCCACAAAATTACTTGTTTTTCATTTGCCTGTACCAAAGATTTGAGCAAACCCCCCCCCCCCCCCCCCGATATTCTACCCAGAATGAAGATATTATACCACTCAATATTTGGAAGCCCAAACATTAAACATGTTATGATTTATAAAACAGGTTTTGTTTCCTAAGTTATACATCTGATATATAACAGATTGTGCCATAAATATTTAGAAGTATCCCAGAACCATTATAATGTTCTATTTAAAGAAGAACTCTGGGATAGGCAAAACAATCACCCAATTGTACACCCCCTACACAAAACACTAAACAGGTAATAACATTTTGAAAATCCTTGCCATTTAGTAGAAAAGTTTAATTGAATTTTCATGACCTCATCTCTGTAATTAAAAAAAAAAAAGCATCTACTCAGAGGAGGTGTACCAGCATGCATTACATCCTCTCCTCTCTCTCTCTGTAGTAAAAGGAAACTACAGTTCCCATCAACCACAGGGAATTGTAGTGAGAGTGGGTGGATACACTAGGCCTGTACATGTTGAATGTGTCTGAGAGTCTCAGTCCACCCACCACTGCAAGTAGGGCTGAATTACATCTCTGCTTCCTGGAGAAAGAACTACAGAAGGGAAGTGCCAAGACCAGTGGCTGGTGGAATAGGAGGCACAGAAGCCACTGGTCTTACAAGCAGGAAACCAAAGAGAATTAATGGTTTGATCTGAAAATTAATAGGCTATTTCAGAGCAACTACTGAGTGAACCAGAAGATGGATGACATATTCAGTTAAGGTAGGAAATCAGCAACAAGGACATGTAAATAGGTTTTTGCCTGTAGTTCTGCTTTAAAATATTTCACATTTGTGTATTTCCAAAATATTTAATCACACAGAAAGATAAATGCGGAGATTTTGACTTAACAGGTCATGAACTTTAAAATGCAAGTGAAAAAAAAATAAGATGTAATATATGAACTGTATTGTCATGTGCTGTTTTACCTTAGGCATTTCTTTAAGCATAGCACTGTTACATTACAACCAATAAAATGAAAACAGTGTACAGTGGCCATAACACTGCATCTTTTCTATGAAAATGCTAGTTCACATCATGATAAAAACTTATAGTCAAATTCTATGCTAAAGTAAATATAATGAAGCCATCACACAATTTAATAAGCATAAACAAACACATTTAATGCATTGATTCATATAATACAAAAAAATAAAATATAAATGTTGGGTGGCATGGCTTGGTGGAGAACAGAGATGGCAGACTGAACCTAGTGCTCTGCCACTCTGAGAGGCACCAACCAGCTTTTTTTTTCCTCCTCACAGGTACAATGGGCAAGATTAACAAACCCCTTTACTCTACAAGGACCCAGCACAATTGTGGTGAAACTTACCCAAAATCTTCCACATACAGCCTCCCGGACATGTCCATGGAATCGCAGTCAGGCTCGTCTCTTTATACAACCTCCCACCTCCAGACCGCTGTGTCCGGGAGACCTAAATCCAAGATAGACCCAGATATGGTCGCTTATTCAACAAATGTCTAAAATGATAGACTCGCAAACGATAGCTTCCAACATCAAGATCGCTCTTCCAGTGGCTGTCTCTGATCTCAAGGAGAATCTCAGGGGGATGGCAGACTGTTTAATGGAGGTGGAGAAGAAAGGCCATCATGAGACAGATCTCCTTGATGTCCAAGATCACACTCTTGTGCACTCTTGCCAGCATATGGAGCTTCAGCATAAATTGGAGGACCTTGATAATTGAGGATGCCAGAAACATCTGTGCATTTGGGACATTCCTGAGAAGGTGGAGCAAGAGCAGCTACCAGAGGCACATCAGACCCTTTTCAACGAGCTGCTGGAACATCCCCGAGACACCACCGTTGAGCTGGAGAGAGCACATTATGTTCTTAGGCTATCAGGCAGGGAAGGAGAACCCCCAATCGATGTCATTTGCTGCTTTGTAGACTCTATACTAAAAGAAGAGATTATCGAGAGAACGCGCGTACAACATAAGTTCACATTTAATGGAGCTAAAGTGAAAGTCTTTCCACACACTATGGAAACTATTGTTTACTTTTATATGGGCTAAAAAAAAACCTAGGATCAGCCTACAAAGGCTCATGTGTTCCAAGGAGCTGGAAAGCATTGGCCTCCCTAATTTTCCTTGATATTCTGCTGCCTGCCATATGATGTGCATCATGGATTGGCATTCCCATTCTAAATACAAGGACTGGATTGCCTTAGAGTAAGCCTCCATGTTAATCTCTTTGTCTACATTAACTTGGAATGTCAGTTAACTCCTCCTGAACGTCTAACCCATCCATTATTCTGGGTGACCCTGAACTGCCTATGTTAATATTGTGGCTGGGCAGGCCTCTATTCAATGTCAGGTCCCTTGACGACCATTACTCATAACTTGGACTTCCCTCCTAGTCTGTCTTCAGCCTTTCTAAACCAGTGCATCTTCACTGAACTCACCTGGGCAAACACATTTTTTGACAAAGGTTCTTTTGTGTTCAAACAATCCCTCTTGACTTTGACAACACAATCCTCTTTCCAGATGTGGTCATATCTTCAGATCAGATCCTTTTTTATTCTTTACACTTGTAAGACTGTGGTCAGTAGACCCCTACTCCTTTCGAGAATCTCTGTCTCTTCACTTTCTCACAAACACACTTAATCTCCTCAATATACGCAATCATATTGAATTTATACTCTAAACAGTTAGAAGTGGCTGCCCACAATTGGAATGAGGAATTACCCCAACCTTTAACTTAGCAAGACTGGGAGTCTGCCTGTCTCACAGTCCATAAAGGTTCTCCTTATGTTTCCATTCAAGAACAATGCCACAAGTTGTACTCCAGGTGGTACAGGGTACCTGCCGTCCTCTCAATAATCTCGTCCAGTTAGCCTGATTGTTGTTGGTGCTGTAATGCAGAGGAGGGTACCTTCCTCCACATTTGGTGGAGTTGTCTCCTTACATACTCCTACTGGCAGACTGTACATAACATTGTTACTAAGGTTTCTTCATACACCTTGGTGTTCACACCAGCTCAATTTCTGTTCCAGAATTCCATGGGGATAGGTCAGCAATTTTGAAAGTCTTTAGCTATGTTCTTAATAAATTCTGCTCACATGTGCATCCTGGTTTATTGGAAGCAACCCCAAACCCCATCCCCGAGAGACTGGTTCTCCAGAATGAACAAAATTATGCAGATGGAGGAACTGATCATCTCCAAGGATGCCATGGCTCGCTATTACAACATTTGGGCATGCTGGCTGGATTACAAGACGACAGTTGATTATAAAGTGGCTTTTTCTAGCTCATCTGCATAAACACCCCCTGAGTCTATGTAGCTCAGCTACTGACTCCTCTGACCCCGTGAGCTCTTTGTGGGCTGACCCCAAACCCCTGAGTGTCTGCCGTGACCCCCTTCTTGCTTTTTTTTTTTTCTTCTCTTTTCCCCCCTTCCCTCCTCTACTCTCTCTTTATTTGACCCCACCCTACTCAGATCCTCATTTTTCTCTTTTTTTTGGCCCCTTCTTCTTTCCCTCCATTTTGTCACTTTGTTGCCATATAATAAGGAATCCAAAAGTATCGCACAGTCACATGCTAACACTCCAGAATCCCCTTCCTTTTCATGTTCCTCTGCCTCCACAACAAGGTAGTTTCCATTTGACATTGCCACTCTCATTAGGCTGGTAGTTTCCCTTACACAATGTTATACAGGCAACTTTATTCAAAGATGAGCTTTTGATATACTTTTGCCATCAATGGAATTTGCTACCATTGTTCTGCCTTCATTGTATTATCTTTTATATGTATAACATTTGTTATCCTTCTTGATATCTGCTTGCAGCAAATTGCTGATATATTTACCATGTGTGTATGATGCTGTAAACTGTGACATCTAATAAACAATTTATGAAGATAAATGTATAATGTTCTGATAACCAGACTAAAACTGTATTTATTGTGTATTGGGTAGAAATACATTTAAATTAAAAAAAGTCAGTGTATGTCTTTGTTTTCATTGGACATATTTTATACTAAAATCAGTAGTACTGAGAGTAAAGACATTAACTGTGTCATCATTGTCATCATCATCATTATCATTACTATTTACTTAAAAAGCTTGTTTATTAGTCATCCATATGGCACTATTGTTGTTGTGCCAATTTTATATTTGGATCAGAAACAGCATGCAAATACTTACTTGAATAAATAATATCAGTTGTTGAT